CGCCCGCTCAGACGAGGCTGCGCGCCAAAAGAAACGCTCCGAGACCGTGTGTCGATCCGCTCTTAGCCTACCCGAACACGTTGCTACGAGATAACCTGCAAGTTATCTATCAAAAGTCGTCCGATGAAATTCACAATTATCAGAAGAGTAAGAATAAGAAAAACAACGATATTAAAATTTACACGAACGAGGTTTTAATACCAATCGAGCTATAAAAGTAACTGGAATCAGATAACATCGGTCAATTTTTATAAATCCTCGTCTCCGGATATATAACGGTCCCGAGCAGGGATCATAACGTTTAAATGTCAATCTGGAAATCACGGCGCTAATGCACGTTTAGCTATTAAAGTGTACGAGATATTTAGTCATCAATGTAACTACCTGACCGAGGTGCTAGATTTTATAGCTCTTAAAGGTTAAAGATACATCTTGTCTCTCATTGCATCTATCTGTTGCTACTTACTTTGTACCGAAGCAATCGATGAAAGATATTTCAACCGTGTCGATCGATTTCGAGTTCTAGTCGTGAAATCATAATTAGATTTGTTACGAGTGGAATCCGATTGACGTATTTGTCAGTTTGTCAATTTGACGCTTTCCTCGTTGGGACGGTATTGCACCTGCCACGACCAGTCTGAACTTTCATCGAAGGGTTGGCGAGAAGGGTGAACGGTCGCGTGGGTCGTTTACACCTGCCCCTCCAGACCGTCTCGCCCTGCTACCTGCACAGGTGTCGTGTAACATAGTCACGAATCGCTTGACCATCGTTGCCACTTTTTAACCGTCCGATCCACGACTACTTCGACCGTGTTAAATGCAAAATTTCTCCACGAACAGCTAGCATTTGATCGTCGAGTTAGGTAGACTCCGCGTTTAACGCGATTTAAATTCTGGACGCGAGTATTTTCTGTTATTACACGAAAATATGCGTCCCAGTAATAATTTTGCGAAATTGCAGACTGCGACTATCCAAAATGACGGAGGAATCCGAATTTACATTTTTCAAATATCGACCACGCTATCCGAATCGCGTTAAATGCAAAATTTTCTATAGCCTGGTGTCACAGTTAGGACACTAGCTGCACCCCATAAATGTTTCATTCAACACCTTATTACCAAACTACGTTTTGCATTTAATGCAATTTATTTTTCATGCAAATTTCTTCCGTATTTTATAAAGGTGTGCTTCAAGATTTTGCAGAACTACTTTCCAATGCCCTAGTAATTTTGCGAAGTTTGGACTTAACAAGGGTTTCGAAGATAGTATATCCCGCTGGTAATTCAGGCAGAAGTTAATTAAAAAGCAAGTTTCGAGTTGTTTAAATTCCTACAGAATCGTTCTTAACCGTATTTCTTTTCGTCCAAGACGCACAGACTAAACACTCGAACAGTCGAGATCTTATTTTAAGATTCCTCTTAAAATAAAAAGAAGAATCGTACGATACAATCCGACGGAATTGGGTCATGATTTCCATCGACGAGTCTCGTCTCACTCTCGTTCTCGAGCGAAGGGACTGGGTGGAGAAAAGTCGAGCAAAGAAGGGTGACTGTCCTTAAGAGGATATCTCGAAGCGACCTTCGTCGAAATCGATCGATCGTCTCGGCTCGTGTAATATCGGGAATCTCTTTACTCGTTTATTAGCGACAACAGGTTATCGTACGACGTTCGAACGGTTGATAATCGCTCGTTGCAGCGACGACTAATTGTTAACGAGCACGGATCACGCTGAAAGATGCTGCCCTTTCGATATACAGAAGAAAGAGAAAGGAGGGACGAACGGAATGCGGGCAATTTTCAATCTCATAGTTCGTCGTCGTTAATTATCGATGTTTCCATTCCTCGATAAGTGAATTTTCGTATCTAGCCGTCTTACTGCAACGGTGTACTTCGATTAAATTAATTGCCTTTGATGGCAAGTTGGAAACTACCGATTAGAATTATCGAACAGGTTCTATTTAGCTTTTGCATACTGCGAATAAAGTGTTGCAATTTATATAAACTTGTAGGCGGTAGCATTACGTCATAGGGCATGGGAATCCATGGAGACTGCATCAAAGGAAAAAGTCTCCGAGTTGTATCGTTATGCATTAAGTTACTCCGCGTCGAATCAATACGCGTCAGATCTGTACGTGTTAAGCCGTGACACGATGGATCATTCAGAGTTAGATGTTACGCGTTAGACGTCTACGTGTTAAATCGCCACGCGTTGTGTGGTCCCTAGTTGCAAACCTACTTACATTGTATTAAGCATAAAAACGAGCCGAGCTTTTTGATAAACGACAGCGGTAGGATAATTAATTCCGCGATCGTGTATAATCCAGCAAATTCTGCGATCCTCCTGCTCGTTCTCTTATCAATATTCACAAAGAAAGCAAGGAACTCCGGCCGTCTAGCGTGTTCCACTCTTTGGCTCGGCTTTCGAGCACCGTCAAGACTTCTTTCTTTGTTGTAAACGGGGTTAAACCGTAGTTGCGTGTAATTACGTTACCGCAGTCAATGATAGTGTAAAGACCGGCGCTGAGTGGTGGGCGGGTAACCTCTTAGTATCGGAGGTCTTTCACCCTTTGATAACGATTAACCTCGTAGAAAAGTAATCGAGCAGGATAGTACACCTTTTCCGCGATCTCTAACAGAATTACGAAACGAAGCTGAAAAAATGGTATTTCCGTTATCGAGGTAGGGTCGAGTGCATGGCAGTTCGTGGGAAATCGAAACGGAACGTGCAAAAACGACTGGTATCGAGCGGACTTGAACAACAAAGAAGAGGGATGCAGAAATTTGCATGCCTAGCACCGCGTCTACACGTGGTATTCTTACGAACGAGCCTTCTGTTCGCGGCTGACATTGGACATCCGGACGTGATAAAACCTGTCGACAAACAACCGTACGAGACTCGGCGAATACGAAAATCTGACGGTGTCGAACGAATTCGACGAATTTCGCGTTACCTCTTTATCGACTTTTACGACCGTTGTCGAGTATCGCTCTCGACCCATAAAACTCCGGCATTTAGATTTTTTATGAAATATCGAAACAACGAAAATTATAACGTTGTTCTTGTTTAACGGTATCGATCGTTAAGTACGAAACTTGAAAAACTGTGTCGAACGAAAAATATTTATTACCCTCCGTTTGATGCCGAATTTCAATACCACGAGTTTGAAAAGCCTGAACCGTATTTGCTACGTTTGTTCGTCATAATGTTTTCATTATTTTATTGGCTGACCCGGTTTTCCGAAAGCATGAAAAAGTCGATAATTCGTGAGGTTTATGAATATGTATTCTGTCGACGAAAAACAGTGTCGAGAACGGTCTGTAATGTCAACATTTGACGAATGACCCACTAGCGAAGCCACGGCGATAAATTGGTGCAAAAAGAAAGAAAAATTGGTTCAGCTCTGTTGCAAGACAATGGTCGACGCTTGACCCCATATCGCACAAATGACCATGGCAAAGTTACACGAGACGAAGTTGGAAACTCTCCATGACCCACCCCATATTCACCGTACAGCACCAATTAGCTACCGATGCTTCCGAAATTCAGACAACCCGCTTCTTGGGAAAATTGTTTAATTCTCGACAGACTATCGAAAGCTTCGACCGAGACTAATTAACGATCTGCTCGATGCGTCACTCTCTTAATAAGCTCAACGAACGATATAAAAACTGATTTTGTGAATCACTCGGCAAACTTCCATCTTCCAATCTCGCGCTAAACCACCACCCTCGAACGAATAAGCGAATCGAAATACGATAAACGTTGCGACTCTCGAATAATCAAGTTCCCCATAGATTTCCACTCGTACCGAAAGAACATTCAAAAAC